ATCTATTATATCGTAAACATTTATTTTGTACAATATCATAAAATAAATAAAACTTGTCATGTGATTTATATACTAGGAGCATGTTCCGAGGCACGACAAGTGAGGCATGCCTCGGTTTGAGGCATGCCTCGAGGGGCATGCCCAAAAATTTTACCGTGTCTCCTACACTACCCTGGTATCAGACCGGATTCATAATTTAACATCCCTATCAAGAAGTGACCATTTATAATTCGAAATGCGCACTAAAAATCAAATATGCGTGATAGATACTTTCTTAATGATGTACAAATTAAAGCCTATCGTTATACGAATTTGGTTGCAATTAATCTTGATCCTGATATTAATATTATATTTTTAATAATGATAACAAAGATCAAAATAAGCATAATGATTTTCCTGATTTTGCAGAAAAATTAAGATATATACGATTGATAATTTAATTGCTGCTCATAAATCAAAATCAAGCAAATCATATAGCTGGCTCTATAGCCAGCTTACATATCTTTTATACATCTATCGTGTTGTAAATTATCTATACATCACGCTTTCGTTAGATTGGACTTTTCCAATCCGACATCCTTATAGTTTTTTAAGGACAATTGTTAGATTTCTAATTCTGATAATTGTATTACCCTTTCCAATTATTTATTTTAAATTAAGAAAGCTATTTAGATTGTATTATAGCCACAAAAATAAAGACAAGATAGAAACTGTGTTTCAAAAATGGAAAGCTAATAAGGTGGATACAGGCAAGTATTATAATACAAAATGCCATATAGGGTTTTTGCCCTGAAAATCAAGTTATGAGACATATAATTTATTTTCAAGGCAAAGTCCCCATATACTCTATGATTTTTCTTATCGTAATCATGTTCTTCATAATTTTAGAAAAACTTAAAATTCGTATAAATGAAGGAATTAAGTCTTTGGATGAACATAACCACCCTTTCGAATTCAATAGAATTATATTATTTATATATTTGTCTGCTATAGTGTACAAATGTAGAGAAATCTTTGTAAGGAATGTTTTTAAAGAAATTGAGGAACATAAAAAAAAATCAGAGTCATTTGATGATATAAATAAATTTCATGAATTTCTTAAGAAACTTGATAAAAACATCATAAAAAGTGGGGCAATTATCAATCATCAATTGAAAAATCCTGATGAAGCATTTAAACAAGAATCTGAGGAAAAAAGCATGGAAAAAACATCTAAGGAATAAGCAGAAGGAGATTCTGAAGATGAAAATGAGTTTAAACTTGAGTTTACCACTGAAGATGAAAATGAGTTTAAACTTGAATTTACCACTGTATCTGAATTGAATACTAATGGAAACGGATCGTTTTGTGGAATGTTTTGGTTAATACCCCATAAATCGATTGTGATCGTTTTCAAAGGAACGACCCCAAGTAACTTTTCAGAATGGTTAGTTAATTCAACTTTTCAATGTATAGATGCAAGACTTTTTCTTTTTGGACAAATTCATAAAGGCTTTTATAAGTGTCTTTTTCCAACAAATGAAAAAACGGCTGCAAGTGCCTATGCAAATTTTACTTGTGAAAGAATTCTTAAAGCAGTTGTAATTAAGGCCAAGGAAATCCTAAACAAGAATAATCATGACGGAAACAAGGTGAACCATATAGGATAACTTTCTCGTGATTGGTCGTCACATGAAATTGAATAACACGTTATTATTGGCCAATTGTGA